GAGCTGGAGAGGCGGCCCGACCCGACGCGACCGGGCTTCGGAGCCCATTCAGAAGCCAGTCTGCAGTCCCGGAACAAAGGCGGCGGCCAAGGTCAGATCCTAGAGGGCCCGGTGCTGGTGGGGAGAGAGAGCTCCTAGGCAGGCAGCCGGGGAGAGAACCCACCATGGCCAGGTTTTGAGGGAAGGGCTTGCAACCTTATCCTAAGGCTAAAATGGAGCCTGCTAGCGCCCGTCTAAGGCCCCACCACGGTTTGGGGGGACTGGGTGCTTCCGATCATGGTGATGGGGGAGACCTCACCTCCCGGGACTAGGGGGACCTCCTTCTGGAGAGCACGGCATGCCAGGGAGGGACTCTGGCTCCTGGGGTCCAGGCTGTGCCCCTCGGACCTCCCTGGAGCAGGTCGGAGTCCCTATAGCTTTGGCTCACCTTCCCCAGACCCCAGGACCCGCAGCTCTGGGTCAGGCGCTGGGACTCCAGGCTGGGACAGGGGATCACGTGGGGCAGAGGCAGGGAGGCCTGCTGGCTGTGCCAACGCCTGGGGCTTCCTGCCTGCCCAGGGTGGAGCCTTCCTTCCAAAGTTTTGGGGAAGTTATGCCCCCATGTTGCTTGGCAAATCAGTGCAAGAGCACCACCCCGCAAGGACGACTACAAGCATGCCCACCCTCCTCTGCGGTGTCCCTCAGCCTGTCCTGCGTGGAGGAACCGGACACTTGGCTCTGGGGCTGGGATCCGGAAGGGATGACGGGGTGGGGGGGGCACTGTGGCCACTTCAGCTCCCTGCGAATTGTCCAAGGCCAGCATCTGGAAGACCGCACAGGGCGCAGCGGGTACAACCCTGGCAGCACTAGGCTTTCAGCGTGTATTCAGTGGGACGTGAGAAGTAGGGATGGCATCCCTTGCTGGGCTCTCTCCTCGGACAGAAGTCCTGAAGAGTGGAGATCAGGCTTTCCCTGAGCCACCTGCGGCCTCTGTTTCCGTTTCCCTGGGCTGGTTTGTTGGGCTGGGAGAGCGAGCACGAAGCCGGCCCTAAAACATGAGCGTCTGGCCAGCAGACCTCTGGAATCTGCCCGGAGGATGCCCCAGCCCCCTCTCTCTGTGTCACATCTGCACGACACCTGTCTTTTTTCTTTCTTATCTCTGAATTCAACCTTGTTCTCACATGTGATTCTGGCAACCTCGCTGGGAAGTGAACAGTTCGGGTCCCATCAGATAAGTGGCTTGCCTAGGGTCCCGAGGAGTGCTGGCCTGGTAACCAGGCAGCAGTGCCAAAGCCAGGTTTTCCACCCAATCACAAGTAAGCTTTTCTTTTCTTTGTTCATCCAGCTCCGGTGCCTCTAGCACCTACTGAGTGCCCTTTAAGTATTCGTTGCCTCAATGAGTGGGTCTTGGGAGGGAGTAAATCCCTTGTTCTCCTCCACCCACTCTGGCCTTGGCCCACCCCAACCTGGGTAAACAGAGACCTGCAGAGGCCTTGGCCTGATTCTCCTGAACAGCTGGTGGTCATTCTCTTGTCCTCTCCTTCTCTAGGTGCCCATTTGGGGGATTTGAACACCTGAGCCGCTGGTCACACTGTCCTCATGGGCTTCCCCCTGGCTCTGGCGTGGGCCCTCCTGGTTGGGCCATGGGTCCCTGTGGGTAAGTACAGGCTGGGGGAGGAGTGTGGCTACAGCAGGGAACCCAGCATCCTCTGGGCTTCACAACGGCTGTGTCCCAGCCATCCCTGTGTCCTTTGCCCCTGCACGTGCTGCTCATGTGGGATACACGGATGGATAATGGAAAGTTATTGCCAAGACACACAGAATTAGGGACCCCGGGTGGACGAATGACCACATCAGTATTTCCAATTTCATTCTTCCCGCTTTAGCGGGGACGTTTCTCTTCCCTCTGTCTTCTGTCTTTTCATAAAGCCTTCCGGACTCAGTATAGGAAAAGGCTGATTAGGTCAGATTCCCAAAGCTGAAAGGGGATCACTGATGCTTTTCTACAGCACGATCAGACCCCAAAGCCACATGACCCTGAGTTTCACCTTGCTGTCCTCAGCGTGGACAATCTCTCCTACACTCGGAGGCCTCTCTCTGCAGTCAGGGCTTCTGAGGAGGGAAGTGGGCTTAAGGTACCACAAATTAGGTTAAAAAGAGGAAGTCCCCAGTCATTAGGGACGAGAGGCAACAACAGGAAGCAAAGGAACCCTGCGGAAAGATCCGGGCTGGCTGGGGTGACCACAGCACGATGACATGGTCCCTACAGACTTCCCTGGCCACATGTGGTCGTTCTTCCTGGCCCTCTCCTTTCATCAGCCGCGGCTTTCCTTTAGGAAAAGGTTGATTAGACTCCTTGGTCAGATTCCCAAAGCTGAAAGCCATAGCTGTCCTAGTTCTGCCCGAAGACCTGGATCCTTACCCAGGTTCTTTATTCGAGCATCAGGGCCTGGGTCTTTTCTGTCCCTGAGCCCCTGGCAATATGAGTGTGTTCGCGCAGGTGTGCGTGTGGGTGGACTGTCCTTTGTTTGAGGACAATCAGGAATGGATCTCCTTCTAAAAGTCCTTTCCTTCCTCCGCTCTCTGAGGGGTGGGGAGGGAGACTTCCAGTTTGGGGGAGAGGGTCCCGCTGGTCAGCTGATCTACTGAGCAGACCGCTCCCCACCCTCCCTGACTTCGGACCTTCTCCGCTCTCCCCTTCCAAAGCTCTTCCCCCGCCCCTGGCTGCTCCTGCCAGGACCCGGGTTTCTGCAGAGTACAGCAGAATCCAGAGCAGAAATTTCAGGGGAAGCAGATGTCCCAGGGGGGAAGGGCCAGGCTGTCCACGTGACTAGTCCAGTCCCTGGTCCACCCCAGGAAACTGGGAAGGGACCAGAGCAGCAGCACCGCACCCCTCCCTGCCTGAGGCAGTGGGAGAGGGCCAGCCCCGAATCGCACTGCCCTGCCCAGAATGACTTGTCCTGCCCAGGTATGGGGTGTGGCAGGCTCTTGCTGTGTGTGCCATCTTAGGGCTGGGCATGGTTTTGGTGCTGCCGTACCCCTAGGACCAGAAGGCTGCCTCCTCTTCCCCATGGGCACTGGCCTCGTCTCAGGGACCATTTGTTACCAGGCGCCACATTCTGGCTGTGACTCTGCCCTGCTGTGCCCCCTGTGGGGACCCTGCTTGGTCCCCACCTTCTGCTGTCTGAGCACCAGGCTCAGGCCCCGTCCCTGCAGGCCCTGGTGACCCCTCACATGCCAACGTCCCTGTTCTCACCCAGCAGCCCTGAGCCCCATTTCATGGGAGGTGCAGCGGTACGATGGGTGGTACAACAACCTCCAGGAGCACAGCTGGGGCAGCAAAGGTAGGTGACAGCTGAGTAGGGGCAGAGTTCTGGGGCCAGGGTGGTACCTGCTCCGGCAGGGGGAGGGCCGGCAAGTGTCAGCCCCAGTTACTCACCTCCAGAGTCTGAGGGTCCACATATGGAGGCAACTCTGGGAGAAAGGCAAGATTGCTCCTTGAGCTAGGCACGGTGGCACACGCCTATAATCCCAGCACTCTGGGAGGCTGAGGCAGGAGGACTGCAAATGCAAGCCCAGCCTGAGCCATTTAGGGGTTTAGTGAGACTGTCTCAAAATAAAAAATAAAAAGGGCTGTAGGCCCTGTGAGGGCCCTGGCTTCGACTCCCAGTACTGCCTGAATAAAGCCATAAAGCTTGCTTCCTGAGGATTCACCGTTGTTCTGCCCCTCACCTCTCCCGCGCTAGGCTCCCGCCTGCGGCGCCTGGTCCCCGCCAGCTACGCCGATGGGGTGTACCGGCCCCTGGGGGAACCCCACCTGCCCAACCCCCGGGAGCTCAGCAACACCGCCCTGCGGGGCGCAGCAGGCCAGGCCTCCCTGCGGAACCGCACGGTGCTGGGCGTCTTCTTCGGTGAGGACCTCTGCCCGCTGCTTGGGCTCCGGGAGAGAGGCGGGGCAGCTGCACCCCTCCCTGTCCCCGGAGGGGTCGGAGGACGTCGGGGTCTGAGAGAGGGTGTGCGGCGCGGGCGGGGAGCGCGGGGCAGAGGCAGGGGTGGAAGCTGTCTGGCGGGCTGTCTCCTGGCGGCCTCTTGTCCCAGTGGGTCCTAGGACCAGCGCAGGAAGGGGTCCGGCCGGGAGAGCCGAGGGGAGGTCGAAAGGGGCTTGCCGGGTGGCCCAGCAGGGTGCCTGGTGTCCTCCCCACCCGTGTCTGACACCCGCGGAGCGCCGCGGCCTCCGGGGAGGCTCCCAGCTGCGTGTCGGGGCGGGTGCTGCCAGCTGCTTCGCCTGGGCACCTCCCGGTTACCAGGGAGAGCGCGAGGGCAGCACGAGGAGGGCGCAGCCCGCGGGCGGCAGAGGCGGGACTCGTGCTTCAGCGCTGCCGAGGCCGTGTCCGGCGCGGGGCGCGGGGCAGGGCCGGGAGCGCTCACCGGTGACCCGAGCGCCGCCCCCGTCCCCAGGCTACCACGTGCTCTCGGACGTGGCGAGCGTCGACACCCCCGGCTGCCCCGCCGAGTTCCTCAACATCCGCATCCCGCCCGGGGACCCCGTGTTCGACCCCGAGCGGCGCGGGGACGTCGTGCTGCCCTACCAGAGGAGCCGCTGGGACCCCGAGACCGGGCGCAGCCCCAGCACCCCCAGGGACCTGGTGCGGCCGGGCGCCCGGGCGGGGCGGGC